GTAACACTCAATGCATTGAAAGAGCCAAAATTCAGTCCCAGATCTGGGCAGATCAAAGTCCTGCCCTGCTGAGCCAGCCTGGCTGCCTCCAGGAAGCTTCCTACTGTTGGTCATGTTCTTTAGCACATCCTGCCTCCTGGACGGGATGTGTTCCCTAAGGACAAGGACCGTCGCATGACAACAGAGACAAGGCCGAGAAAAACGTTTAGTGTAGTGGGGCAATTTGTCTAAAATCTAAATCCAGGTTGTGTATGTGCACGTACATGTGTGTGTGCATGTGTGTGTGTGTGTGTTTTCATGTGCACACAGAAACGTTTGTATGGACAGATGTGCATGTTTGCGGGAGCATGCTGTTGTGTGACACCATTCCTGGGGTGACATGAATGGATGTCTACTCACCCCAGAGAGGTAACTGACAACAGACCTAAGTACGGATACCTCCAAAGTCCATCTTAGTGAACCAATGAGTTTTTTGGGGATTGCTTATAGGAATATGGGTGAGGGGTGACTTACAGGAGCAGAAATGACTGAAGACAGTTGCATCCCCTAAGTCCACCCTAACACGGGTGACAGTTCACAAAGTTGGGAACCTAGAGCACACTGCACAGCCTGCGGGCAGCTCGACAGGTTGGAACATGTCCTTTCCAGGGCAGCTGGGGTTGTCTGAGAATGTCTCCAAGCTGTCCTTATAGATTCTTAGGGAGGGTGGGGCCTACTGAATCTGCTTAGCTTCAGGAACTTCCTGCAGCTGTTTTTGAGTTGTTTATTTCCTGTCTTTAGGAGCTTCCCTGCAGGATGTGGGTTTCACCTCCTCTTAGAAAATCCTGTTGCTTCCTCTCCCTATACACATCCCGTGTTTTACAAAGCCCCCCCCTCCAATATGGAAAGCTTTAACTTCAGGAGAAACTGCTGCACACACAATACATACATGCTCTGGTGTGGCTTTTGGTTTTGGGGTGTGTGTGTGTGTGTGTGTGTGTGTGTGTGTGTGTGTGTAAGGGAAAGTGTATAAGTGTTTGGATGTTTGAGTGTGTATGTAATAAGAGTGTTGAGTCTGTGGGTATATGTGTCACTGTATGAATGGTACGTGAATGAGGATATGCAGATGTGTATAAATGAGTGTGTGAGGGAGCATGTATGTGTCAGTGTGAGTTGATGGGCATATATGAGTGTGCAGGTCAGTAGGTAAGTGGGTAGGTGTGCCGCACAACCTACAAGAAACTACGTTGTGACCACGATTTATGTCCCTTGGGTCCACGTGTGGAAGCTATGAGCTTGTGTAACAATACATGGAGGTAGGACCTTTGGATGTACCTGACTCCTAGTGCTGGACAGACCAGCTCAAACAGCCTCTGTGGATCCAAGCTTCCCACCTCATTCCCTGCACTATGGTTTATGTATGGTTTCTTTCAGGTTGACATTTGGTGGAGAGAGGTGATAGAACCTTCAAGAGGAGGGGCCCAGTAAGATGTAGCTAGGTCATGGCAGTGCTCCCTTTAGGATTAATGCTGGTCTCACTGGAGTGGGTCAGGTCTCATGGGACTAGAGTCATTCCTGTAAGAATGAATTATTGCTGAGACGGGCACCTCCTGAGCCCTTCTTCTGCACACGCAGCCACCTTGCAATGTCAGCCACCACATCCTGCCCAGAGAGCAAAATAAGCCTCTTTTCTTTATGAAATGCCCAGATTTGGTTAGTTTATCGATAACATGAATGGAGACATTGTGCCAAGCCTTCCCAGCCTTCCTTGTGCTTGCTGATTCACCTCCCAGGGCTCCTGAGACTGGCTCTCCCTGTACCAGACAGCTTCTCAGATCTGCCCTTCTGACTGCCGCTCACTGAGCGAGCTCAGCCAAGGTGGTCACAGAGCATGCCTACATGTCCCCAGCCTGAACTCTGAACCTGGATGACAGCACAACCCTCCCCAAAGGTTCCTGGTTCCACACATTCCCCCCCCCCAGAGTCCCCAACCAGGATGGCCGGAAAGCTGAAGATGGCCAGGTATAGTGTCACTTGCCTAGAACCCTAGTACTTTGAAGGCAGAGGCAGGAGGACTATAGGTTTGAGGCCAGCCTGGGCTTCATAATGAGACCTGTCCTAATAAATAAACAAATGAGTGAATGGGTGAATCTGAACAAAACCAACTCAAAACAGAGGGGTCATTCCCTACAAAAACTCTCGAGTGGCCCCTGTCGCCAAGCCTCCACCATCTGTCCTCTGTCCTCTCACCACCTCCATAGTAGGTGAACCCCTACTTTGTTTTCTGCTCCAGTCTGGAATGTTCTAGACCCAGGATGTTCTCCTACCCCCGCTCCTTCTTGGTCTTTGCTCAAACCCATTTCCCCCCATCCCATGTGGCGTCCTTCCAACCCTATTCAACACCCTGACCCCCGCCCCTGAAGAGACCCTGTCTCTCAGCGCTGCCTCTCTGAAGTGCCAACACTGACTGATACTTTCCTTTCCTCTGTGGAATGGGGGTGACTGGGGTGACCGAGGGGATATAGCATTTGTCTTCTTTACCACACTCTACCCAGAGGCCACTCTGAAGCAGGTCTCGGCACACGACAGGTACTGAGGACATTGAACTGCCCGACAGTAACCAAGGCCTAGCTGCCCCTCTGCCGGGACTCAGAGAGGTTAAGGATCTTACTGACCACCACAAGAAAGGGAAAGGGAGCTGGCTCGCTAGTATGGTCTGCAAGGTGTCTCTCCTGGAGGAGCTGTATGATGGCTGAGTGTCTGGTGACAGACCTCAGTCCTGCTTGACTTTGGGCCTGGAGCTTGCTGGGCACGTTCACTATATCCCATGAGCCTCCGATCCTTTGTGTGCAAAATGAGGCCAAGAAGGGCAGCCGTTAAACATGAGGAGGACCCGGGGCACCAAGGCCTCCTCTCTCAGGTTCAACCACCACACCCCAGCTGCCCTGTGTGCAGTCAGAGGGTTGACGGATGCAGTCGGTTCACTGGAGTAACAGCGGTGAATGGATGGTGATACACAGGGCCCATTCGATCCCTGGGTCCCCTCCCGATGAGGGAGCTGGAAAACAGAATACGCTGTTGGCCACCAGCTCCTTCTCAAAAGGGGAGACTTCTGCCACAAATTCTTGGGTCAAGGATAAAGGGACAATCACACATCTTCTGTCAGAGGCTACAATATCACTTTCCATAGACTCAGCCCTGGAGACCCTCAGCAAGATGAAACCTATCCCGATTTCATAGGAAACCAAGGTCATTCGGGGAGCCATACAGCAAGTACTTGGCAGAGCTGACCTAGAGTCCAGACCAGCTTCTTATCCTACGCAGCTTCTCCTTGTCCATCACTGTCCCAGAAACATCTTGGCCAGCACTGACCAACAGGCTAACGGTACCTGTGCGGAGTCCCATCAAGACGGGATGCTTGAAAATCAACACAGCAGCAGAAAAGGGACTGTTTGTAATTCTTCCACCCCACGACAGTGGACAGTGATGGCTCTTCCTCCACCCCATGGCAGTGGACATTGATGGCTCTTCCTCCATCCACGACAGTGGACAGTGATGGCTCTTCCTCCATCCACGACAGTGGACAGTGATGGCTCTTCCTCCATCCACGACAGTGGACAGTGATGGCTCTTCCTCCATCCACGACAGTGGACAGTGATGGCTCTTCCTCCATCCACGACAGTGGACAGTGATGGCTCTTCCTCCATCCACGACAGTGGACAGTGATGGCTCTTCCTCCACCCCATGGCAGTGGACAGTGATGGCTCTTCCTCCATCTGTGGCTCTTCTTCCATCCACGATGGCGGACAGCGATAGCTCTTCCTCTGATACAACATGGGAAACCGGGGCTTAGAGATGTCACCCATCAAATCCATAATGTAAAAGTGGGAAGCAGGCCCTTCCACCTAGTGGCTCCTGGGAATCTGGTGTCTCCTCTGCCCCCTGGAGACCTACTGGACTCCTGCCCTCCAGCAATGAGTCACCTCCGTATAGCCTGCTTGCTCCTCTTCATCTGCAACAGCCTTACCCAGGGTCTGTCGGCACACTGAAGACCACACACTTCCTGTGGGTCACCTCCATGGCCCCACCAACTACGATGATACCTGGCAGAGTGGAAACTCAGGAAATGCAAAAGGAATTAATGAATATATGAATGAATGAATGAATGAATGAATGACTCTACAGAAGCTTAGATCCCTTTGGGCTTTTCCATCAGGTCCTTGGCCTTTCAGAAAACAGGTGCACTTTGTGGGTAGGCCTAGATGAGAGTTCTGCCTCATATCTCTCGGTACCCGGTTCTGCCATCCCCAAGTACTCATGGACGTGGATGGACAGACACACAAGCAGATGACAAGGGGAGGGTGGATTGGAAGGTGGAGGAGATGCTACTCTTGCTAGCAGTGGCTTTCAACTTTATTTTTTCTCCCTGCAACAGTTACTTGAACTCTCAAGATGGATGGAGCCAGGAGAGGAAAGAGGTCCCGTCGTAGCTCCTCTCCGGCACCCTGCCATGGGTTCACCTGGTATTCATCAATGTCTGCAGACTCAGGAGCAGCCCCTCCCAGCTACTGAGGAGCCCATGGGCCTCCCTCTTCTCACTGCCTCATGCACCAGAACCTCTCCAGAGGAAGTGACCAGCCTTTCTCCAAAACACTCCAGAAAGCACCCAAGAGCCCCTCCTCGAGCAAGCAAACTTTCTACCATGATGAAAATGGTGGTCATGTATGTTGTCCAACCTGTTCAATTGTCACCCACCCTGGCAGGGCTCTTCCAGCCACACATGAAGTTTGGCTAAGAGATGATGGACCAAACCATTAATATGCAAATTAGGCGCTTGTGGCTATCTACTGATAACTGCCTTAGACAGAGCTTCCTAGGTATGTTCCTGAGTGGCCTCCAACCAAGTCCCAACGCGATCCTTGATTCTGGAGCAGGGGAGTACCTGGTCCCCAACATCTCCTGATTGGCAAAAGTCATTCACGGTGTCCCACCCCCATGACATTCCATAAACCCCACAGGGCCCACATATCTCTTGCCTTTTATTCCAGCACCTCCCAGAGACCCATTATGTACAGACTGTATTTATACATATAATATACATCGAACATAAGTATTCATATATATATTCACACGCTAGCCCACATGCTCACACATACATCCTTCCTGGAGGGGCATGGCCACCTCTGAGCCTCACTCAGCCCCAACAAAAGGTTCCAGGTTCAGCAGGCAGTGGTGAGGTTTTATGTTTTTTGCTTCAAAAACAAAACAAAACAAGAAGGCCATATTCTCCAAGTGTGTTCTTCCATTCCCCAAGACCCTAAAACCCACCCCCAAAACATTCTGAAGTTTTGTTTCCAGAGGTTTCCCTCTGCTCTTCAAGGCCTCAGTGGAGAATCCAGACCTGTCTTGTGGCCTGTGCAGGTTCCTGGGGGGGAACCCAGCTGGGCCAGAAAGGGTCCCAGCATGTCTGCAGTGGTCCAGCTGCCCTGTGACCTCCAGATGGGCAGGATGGGTAGCTATAGAGCCAAGGGCACCTGCCAGATAAGAAGTGTACTGTCTGTTTCGCTGCACGGAGCCGGTCGCCCACTCAGGCCTCCTGGAGCGCTGCCAAAGTGGCGATAGCCTTGCCCACCAGAGATGATGGCCACAGAACAGATCTCCTTGCGGTGGGCATCACGGGCACAGGGCCGGCTGCGTACCCAGACATCAGGATCATCGGCCATCTCGTAGATGGAGCCGTCTTCCTCACTGTGCTCCAGAGCTGAACCGTCAGTGGGTGCTGGCTCCCGCACCGACAGCAGGGGCCCCGGGAGGTGAGCCGTGGAGCGCAGGCGGTATTGGAGCAGGATGCCCTTCTTGCGGGTTAACTCTCGGCCTGGGTGGCTGTCAGGGGCGGGCACTGGTTCGTGAGATTGCCCGTCTGGCTTGTCCTCCTCGGCCTGAGGCCCTTCAGTCTCTTCCTGGTCACTCCGCAGGATATCGGGGGCCAAAATGCTCATGGCCACAGCCAGGAAGGCCACAGGTCCACAGTGACCATTGAGTGACACCATGCCTTTCCCTATGAGAACGGAGCAGAGGAGGAGGGTCAAGAGACAGGACATTAAGGGAGACAGCCAAGTACTTCTGGGGTACTTTCTGGGTGGGTAGGACATTTTCCTCTGCCATCTATGTTGGCATCTCCCCAGAGGTCATGAGATCTGTCTATGCCATGCTTCATGGCATGACTTCACGGGGGGGGGGGACCTGTTATGGTATATTATTTTAACTATGTACAGATGTGTTACCTTTGTTTACGCTGCATTTGTTTAACTATGTAAAGATGTGTTGCTGTTTCACCTTGCCTGCCTAAGGCACCTGATGGGTCTAATAAAGGGCTGAATGGCCTATAGTTAGGCAGAAAAAGGCTAGGCAGGGCTGGCACGCAGAGAAAATAAGTAGGAGGAGAAATCTAGGCTCGGGAGGAAAGAGAAGAGAGGAAAGGAACGAGGGGACACCCGGGGCAAGAAACGAGGCAGCTCCCAAGCCAGCCTGGCACGAGAAATAGTGACAGAAAGACAAGCGGAAGGAAAGAAAATAAAAAGTTAGCCCCAAGGCTAAAGGTAGATAAGGAGAAACAGGGTATTTTAAATTAAAAGAGCTAGCCAGAAACGAGCCTAAGCTAGGCAGAACATACATAAGAAGTCTCCATGTCATGATTGGGGAGCTGGTTGGTGGCCTAGAAGGAAAAGCCTTTCACGGGGGCCATCCTCCATCTCCCGTGGAAACGGCCTCACTGATAACTTCCCTCCGAACTCCACCCTGAAAGCCAAGTTTTGTAAGAGGCTCTCCAGCTCTCCCTTCCAGCCAAGCGCCAGCAGCCACACTGCATCCTGCCTGTATCCTCCCAGGGAAGTGGTACCTAGCTACTCCTTGATCTCACTCCAGCGCTGCACCCTCTGCCTGGACCAGAGCTGTCCTGAACATTACCAGCCTCATGCATCTCTGTGTCCCACCCAGCCTGGGTGCCATCCTTGCATGATCAAATTGCTCTAGTAAGTGCATCATGAAGATGGGACTCCCAGAAGAGGGTAGAGGTCCGGCATGGTTGGCTCAGGCTGGTTCCTCCTTCTCACCCCCGTGTTAACCGGCCACTAGAGGAGACTACAGTCTTCCCTTTCAAGGCAGAGGCAAAGGGGGACAGAACTCTAGTGTCTAAACACCAGGGGTTTCCCCTGACCCTGCTTCTGTTCTCTTAGGCCTAGGGTCACAGGTCAGGGCAGACAGGCACAGCTGACACGGGCCTATCCCCAGAGCCCACACTTCTACCTCTGATGCCCCACTACAAAGAGAGGCAGCAGGGCCCAGCAGAGCCTCTGTCATGCATCAAGTGCCTCAGCCAGCACTCAGATTCTCCAGCCAGTGTGAACTTCTCCACCCAGTCCAGAAAAGCAAGAATCAGAAGATAGGAGGTGGTATCCTAGGCTATCATTTTACCATGCCCTGGCTCAGGTAAGAGGGACAGAGAGGCTGGACTCTATCGTGAATCACTGGGTATTGCAGATGTCTGGGCCAGTTTCCCCTTATCCCTGAAGTCAATCCCCAAACCCACCGAGACAGCCCTGGAACCTCACCTGTGATCTTGGGGATGCCCTCCAGCCGGGGCACGGGCAACAGGACAATGACACCCTGGTCAGTGCCTACCCAGAGCAGACCCTGGCAGATGAGGAGGCTGGTGACACACAGGTGCTTCTGGCCTGCAGAGAGAGACAACATGAGCTCAGTTCATCCTGGGGAGGGAGCTGTACAGCCCAGATTTCCCCCAAGCCAAGTGGGAGGGTGCTGGGGTTAGGACATGGGTACCCAGTCAGACCTCAGTTTCCCCATGTGTAAAGGAACTGCTGTGAGGACACAGCAGGGTAACACCTAAGGGCACAGTGCCTGGCCAATGCGGGCTCTATGTGTCAGGGCCCAGTTGCCTGGCACCAGGTTGCAAGCCAATGAAGAGCCGGTGTGACAGTCTGTAATGGGTAGAAGTTGGTAGCGGTGGTACGTACTAGAAGGGGGCCAGGGCAGAGTCTGTAAAAAGGACTGCTGCCAGGTTACTCTAGGCAGATGGGTGGATGAGTACATGTATGGACAGATGCGTAGATTAGAAGAAGGGTGGATAGGGCAGTGGATGTAAGAGTTCACTGGGCAGTGGGTGGGTGGAAGGATGGAAGGATGGATGGATGGACAAGTGCATAGATAGATGGACTGGTAAATGAACAGGTGAATGGGTAAGATGAGTGGATGGATGATGGATGGATGAACAATGGATAGATGAATGGGTGGATGATGGATGAATGGACAGAAGGATGAAAGAAAGGATGGATGGAGGGATGGATGGGTAGGCAGATTGGCAAGTGTGTAGATAGATGGACAGATGGATTGAACAGTCAGTGAATGGATGGCAAGAGGTATGATGGACAGACGGATGGATGGACAGATGGATGGATGGACAGAAAGATGTATGGATGGATGGACAGACGGAAAGATGTATGGATGGACAGACGGATGGACAGATTGGCAAGTGGTAAATGAATGGGATGGTAGATGGATGGATAGATAGATAGATAGATAGATAGATAGATAGATGAATAGATGGGTGGGCAGATGATAAAACGGATGGGTAGGTGATGGGTGGATGCACACACACACACACACACACACACACACGGTTGAGCACAGCTCTGAGACAGTAGCACACAGTCAGTCACTGGAGGTGCATTGAGTAATATTTAGAATTACTTAAAGGCCCTAGACTCTAATGTGCTAAGTTCCATCCCAGATACAAACCCCCAAAATAACAAAAAAAGGGCCAAGAGGGAGCTGTGGATATGCTTCACCCCACATGCCTCATGTTCCTTCCATAAGCTCCCTAGACCCCAAGACCAACAGCGGCTGGCGCTGGAGGCATCCTCATCCCAACCATAGCAGAAGCTTGACAGAAGGAAGGCAGGTGGAAGAGAGGCCCAACGAGACGACAGAGGCGAGAAATGGCTTCATCTAAAGGCTTCATTCTGGGGCCCTCTCCTTCCACCTCAAGAAAAAGAGCGAGACACTTCACAAACAGTCCAAAAGAAAAAAATTTCTAATGGGGGATAAATATTTGATCATAGAGACTTAATACACAGGGCTCAGCTCACCCTGGCCATCTATCTAGAGATATACAACTTTTAAAAGCTCAGGCTCTCTGAGAACATTTTATTAATGACCTGTCTAGTTAAAAGGAGGAGGGAGTTTAGGTTTAAAAAAGTGCATTAATACCAGTCGGGTGCTCGAGTGGAAGGAAGGGTGGGGGAAGGAAACGTGATAAATTTTTTAACACGCCCTAAAAAAATCCACACTTAGAGGAAGAACAAATTTATTACTAATTATGCAATTATTTCATTTGGTGGTGTGGGGGAGAGGAAATACTTAAAAGCCTGTTTTAAATATCTCTAATAAAGAATTTAAAAATCCTGTTCAGCCTTTCTTCCTCCAGGGCACAGTGTGGGGTGGACAGGAAGCCACCCTCTGCCCTCCGATTCCTGCCACTGTAACTGACTCCAGCTCAGCTTGGGGGTCACGGGCTCTCCCAGCTCAGTGGTACTAGATACTCAGTTTGGATACCCAGACCTAGAGAAGGCCAAGACCCAGGAAAGCCCCACCACCACCATCTGATCACACAGCTAGTGCCTTTGGAAAGTACTGACCCAGAAGCTCAGGGTGGGCAAAGAGGCTTGGCAGGAGACACCCGGCAACAGGCCAGCTTGATGGGCATGAAGATAACAATGGGGACAGAGAGAATGAGGACAGTAAACGTCCCTGTCAGGACTGAGGCTTCTCATGTGAAGAACTACACGGTAACGGGTGCAGATGAAGGAGTGGACCACCGTGGCCAAGCAGAGAAGGGGGCCCAATGAATGTGACTCTGAGCTATGGATTCACCAAGCTCTTGTTCATCCATGGAGAAACTGAGTCTGTGGGGAGGTTGTACCGCCACCTAGGGACAGGCCGGTCGTGCAGTCTCCTGGATCGCTCATGACTTGGAAACAATGACACTCACCCATGGTGCCGCCCCTTTAAAAGTCAGGAACACAGTGTCGGGGGTCCTCAGGGTTACAGCCCTGAGTCCAGCCAGAGCTGTGCTTCTCCACCCCCAGACCAGCCTCTGACAGCTGAAGCTGCCGCCTCTCTCTTTCCTCTGCCCCGACTAGACAAGGCTCCCAAGAGTTTCAAAACCTCCTAAGATTAACCATTTTTTCCATTGTTCCATTATCTTGAAATAATTTAGCTATCAAGATAAATGCAGAAGTATTTCTATGATACAGAGAATTTTTTATTGTGTTGTATAATGGATGAAACTGGTCCGGTCCCCCAGTCCTATCCTGCTCCCCCCTCCTCACCTTTCAGGAAATAGAATCAAACTAGAGGAAGGGAGAGGAGAAGGCAGGAAAGAAAAGGACCACAAGCAACGCAGGGCTTCTGATGCAGGGGAATGGTGTGGAAGAGACCATCCCCACCACTGCATGTCAAAGCATATGACCCTGCTGAGGAAACCCATGTCTGCATCTATAACTTGGGGACCATCTGCGGCTTGTGGACTTTAGATCACAGTGTGATGCCATCAGCCGAGTCTTGCTTGGCACGGGGCTCTAGGAGACTGGCAGCTCTGAGTGGACAGTCATGGCTGCTGCCTAGCTTGATAATGGCCACTTGACCCTGCTGATGCCCTGACTAGCCAGGAGGAAGAAACAGCCAAAAAGGTGACTGGGTCATAGCTGGAAATATGGAGCAGATCTTAGGGGAGGCCCTCAGACCCCCAAGGTGCTGGCCAGTGAGCCTTTCCCCAACTCAGCTCAAACCCACTCCTAGCCTTGCCACAGCCCATCTGTCCAACACACAAGTGACAGTGTTTCAGTGGGACAGTGTAGACAGCCTGGGTCCCCTGTCCATGCATTTTTGGTTCCAGCTGCCAGCGCAGAAAAGCCTGCCAACTTACAGCCCCCACTCCTGAGCACCCGGATTGCTGAGATGTGGAACAGGGGGCAGAGGGTCAGGAATGGGGGCTTTGGTAGGACAAACCTGGGAATAAACCCAGCCCTACCACTTCCCGTCTATTGTGAACCAGTTTTTGAGGCTGACCAAGGCTGCCCTGGCACTGAATGAGCTGCGCTGCCCACCTGCTGGCATCCATGAGTGTCAGTCCCCTTATCCCAGCCCCAGCTAGTTTTCCAGCCTCACCTGACAGGAGGAAGGTAGTCCTCCTTACCCCAGACCCTGGAAGCCACGCAGCCTCACCTGGAAGGAGGAAGGTGGTCCTGGTGGCAATGTTGATCTCCTGAAGATGTTCTAGGGTCTCGGTGTGGAAGAGGCGGATGGAGGAGCCAGAGGAGAAGGCCATCCAGACACCTCTGCCAGCCTTCACCATGTGTGTCACACTCACAGCCTCGTCCTGGTGCGCCTCGAAGCTTTGCTACATACAGAGGGGATGGGGGTATCAGGCCAAGGTTGCCATCCCGACCAGCCCCCACTCTCCATGGTCAGGGGTTCCCATGTTCTTCAAGAGCGCGAGCTAAAGCAAGCTGTCGGAACAGCTGTCTGTAATAGAGCTTGGAAGCCCAGTGTGCTGCACAGATTAGCAACTAACAGGAATCAGGTGTGCAGTGCTGACCGGTTGCGGTGGTGGAAATGCTTCTAACGGGAGTGACTACAGACAGCCAATGTGACAGCAAGACAAGAAGGCAACAATGCATGCTTGGCTCTCAAGTGGAGACCCAAGTCCAACACACACAAGGGCTCCTTTTTTGTCCTCGACTTCCAGCAGGGAAAGACAGAGCCACCAGCTAGCAGAAGTTGAAGCTATATGCATAGTTTTAACTTCGAGACAGGGTCTTTTTATATAGCCCTTGTTAGACTGATACCATGTAGCCCAGGCTGGCCTCCAGCTCATAATTCTCCTACCTCTGCCTCCTAAATACTAGGATCACAGGCCATGTCCAACTATCTATATTATTTAAAGTAACCACAGCAACCTGCAGAACTCCCTGGGGAAGGAACTAGAGGTGCAAACCAAATCCTCATCTCTCATAGTATGGTGAGGGCAGGGAAAGTCGAGAAATATTGTTCAAACCCCAGAGAGCAAGAGCTCGGGAGTAAATGAGGACGACAAGGGGATTAAAGACAGAACAGGGGAGGTGTTTCAGTCAGTAAGGTGCATGCCTTGCAAGCAGGAGGATCCAAGTTTGGTCCTCGGAACCTGTGTTCTTTGCTTTTGGTTTTCCGTGTTTCTCCCCCTAATTGTACATTACAAGCTCACCACTACAGAGGTGGAGACTGGGGACCTACTGGATACGCATCTAGTTAAAATCCAATGGGAGGCCATGTCTCAAAAGGAAAAAGTGGATAGTACCTGAGGAATGACATCCCAGGGTGTCCTCTGGCCTCCACACAAACACACCCATACACAGTGTATGCACATGAATGCGCACACACATACTCACACAAGTGCATGCATATTCATGTATACACACACTCACACATGCATGCGCACACACATACACACAAGTGCATGCATATACATGTGTTCACACATACACACACTCCCACATACACACATACAGAGCAGAAGTCCCTGACCGTCAGATAGCCAGGGTGCATGGTCTCTACAGGGTGGGGCATCCCTAGGGTGAGGACAGGGACCTGCCTCCTCCCTCAGACTGGGGGGCTCTATCTAAGCACTCCTGGGGTGCCCAGGAGGGGATGTGTCTCTCTTCTCAGCCGCAGCCTCCACTTCAAGTTTCCCTGACTTCTGAGGGAAACTAAGCCTACACAGAGAAAGGTTGGGGCCAAGCAGTGCAGCAGAGGCACAAAAGCCCATTGCTCAAGGCCTGCAGCCTGTCTCTGCTGGTCCAGCCCAGTCCCTGGCTTGAGCTGTTTCTTTGGTGACATCCATGATGGCGCCTTGTTTGCTAGAACCAGCCTGAGGGGGATCCAGGGGAGCTCAAGTAGGATCCTCCTCTGAAGCCCGACAGCACAAAGTTAGGGGAGACACAGAAGCCGAGCCTAGCAAACGCCCCTCAGCCAGTGCTCAGTGCTCAGCACGGTGACGGACCGATTCAGCACCCACCGCGTAGGGAAGGCCCAGCAAGCTTTGTCTGCGGTCTTTTCCAAAAATGCTGTAACCGTCTTTGCCTGCAAATGCACACACATGCACACATGCAGCAGCAGGGATGCATTGCGAGGCCACACAGAAGAAAGGTCAGAGCGTTGCTGACCCCAAGAGAAGCCAAGCACACTGTGATATGTGAGGCCTCGGCCTGCAGACGCCACTCCTGAATTTGCCGGCGCCAACTCTGTGCCCTGCCTCCAGTCTGACTGAAGAAGTCTGCAGGGCAAACCCAGCCTTGTTTCTCCAGAGGTGGGCGGCCTAGTCAATACTGGGGCTAGTGGACCATGCAGGCCCATGCCAACTCACACGGACAAGACACGGGAGCTTGGCAAGAGACTGATGCCTGGAATGCAAGCTGGTCTTGAATTCCCAGCTGAGCCTCCTGGGCCCATAGAGAGATGGCAGGTAGGGACAGAAAACATGCCAGCATCATAGGTCCCAGGGGGATCCAAGCCCAGCACCCCAGGGTGAGGGAAGGTAGCAGCAGTCCCCAGGCCTCAGCGCCCTCTGGGCTCAGTGCCAACAGGCCGTATAATTGCTGAGCTGGTAAACCAGTCTTTTCCTGGAAGCCAATCCTGACCATACAGTAAAGACCAGACAGGGAGCCTGGCACACAGCCCTCTCTGACCACAGGTGCTGGTCCTGCCAACAGATACCAAACTTTCCCTGGCAGGACTGGAAGAGACCGTATAAGTGGGAACTTAAGGGTTCTCCCAAGTCCCACCTCTGAAAAAAAGACCAGAGGTGACACCACTCGGCAGGTAGCAGTGGGCACATTGCCGCACTCCCTTTGGGGCCACCAGCTAGGGCACCAAGGGGACAGTGGGTTGGGGCAGGGAAAGCTGGGTTACAGCCCAGAGTACTTCCCAAGCGATGGGAAATGTGTCCACAGTCCGAATCAAAGAGGCCTGTGGCCAATCAAAACAATACCAAGCATCAAACTAGTAATGAGGGGCCTGGATCCTAGCGTGCCGAGTCTTCTAAAGACTGGGAGCTAGGTGTGGAGGCTCAGGCCTGCAATCCTGATATGCAGTAAGCTGACGCAGGATGGATGGTTGGGAGTTCAAGACCAGTGTGGGCTACGTGGTGAAACACTGGAGACACAACCCAAAGGTTCAGAGCATGGACTGCTCTTAGAGGACGTGAGTTCAGTTCCCAGCACCCACATCAGGCAGCTCACAGCAACCTGTAACCCCAGCACTGAGAGATCTGACACCCTCTTCTGGCCTCCATGTGTATGCACACACAGGCACTCACATGTGCATATACACACAGGCACACACAGGCACACACACACACTCACACACACACGGTGTAATTATTAAATACAGAGAGCTGGCCTCAGGAGGGCAGGGTCTCAGCTCCTCTGTGAGTGACTTAGTGCACTAGACAGGGACAGAAAGAATGTGCCCGGCAGAGCGCTGAGGACTCAGTGGAGAAGGCACGTGGCACGCCCGAAGGGTCGCTGCATGCTGCTGAGTGGGACCAGGACGACGCAAGGTCTGCCCCACCCCACAGGGCCAACCTCCACAGCCTCTGGACATCCAGCCATGGCCACCCACACTGCCAGTTCCAGGTGACTGATCTTCTCGGAGGACTGCTGACGCAGCCGCTCCTGTAATATTTATGTGCCTCCAGGTGACGCTTCTGCTCCATTGCCATAAATTCCCAGGGTGATGTGCTCAGCACTCAAAGTCATTAGAGCCCAAGATGGCGCGAGGTGCTGGGAGGCTGACAGGGTAAGAGAGGCTACCCAGGAACGGGGAGACTGTGGACAAGGTGTCTATTTCTATTTCCTGGACACCAACAGCAGACACTGACAACACACCTCCAAAAAGTCAGACGACAGAAAAGACAGTGAACAAGGTGTCTATTTCTTCTTCCTGGATGCCAACTGTAGACACCAACCTCTACAGAGTCAGGCAGGGCACTGGACACCAATGCGTTACTGACATAAAAGACAGTGAACAAATCCAGAACGGGCACTGAGGGCCCCAGACGGGCTGAGAGGGGCATGAGTGGGCCCCACACTTCAGCCCACTCCTAGAGGTTCAGAGGAACCTTGGTCCTAGCATTCAATCAAGGTTGGGCTGAAAGAGATGCTTGCCACCCATTCCTGTCCAGTCACCACGGATTAGCCAGTCCTGAGAAGTCTGGTCATGGACGGAGATAGGCTGCCCACCACACACTGCTTCCCTCCAATCTTTGGGGACAGCCACAGGGTGGCAACCACCCTTCTACCATCACTCAAGGCAAAACACAGGAACTTCAAAGAATAACAGCTGTCATGACTCAATTGACCAATGAAAAGACTGGAAATTGAGACTCGGGACTGCAGGGCTGAATGTCCCGAGAGTATGCCTTGTACAAGCTATCGTCATAAAAGTCCCTTGCCTCTCTCAGTCTGCTTCGTTTTCATCAACCCTCCACAGCCAGAGCAACAGAAGGAAAGACCAAAGTGACATTTGCAGAGTTGCATTGCCAGGAAAGGGGAGGGGGAGCCAAGTCCCTCACCTTGGTAGCCAATTTGCTCTGGTCCACGTATCTAGCTAGTTGTGACAGCTGTGACATTTGACTCTGGAACCTCAGGAAATTCCAAGCCTGGGACAAACCAGGGTGGCTGGTCACTCAGATGAGACACGGTTCCCACACTCTGGTTGGTGCACTGCCTTGCCTGACCTGGTTGAGGTCAAGGGCTCAGCCAGAAAAACAAAACAAAACAAATAAACTAATAAACAAACAAAAACTGCCCTGGTCAAGAAGGCTTGAGATGGAGCGGTGTCCAGCTCTCCCCAGAAAGCCAGTTCATGCTCGGCAGGGTAGGAGGGACGTCACTCCCTTAACTGGACGGTAGATACTCCCAACTCAGGGCTACTGTGGCGACAGGCAGACAAAGAGTCCCACCAGCAGCAATAATGATAACCATGCACAGTTTAGCTTGCAAGGAAATGTGCAAAACTTGATGTTCTGGAAGAATCATTCTAGACAAAAGAAATGGCCAAAAGGCCTCCCCTGCTGTGGGCTCTCCGGTCCTCAGACAGGCTTTGCCACCTGCTCATTACTGCTGGCGGAGGCAAAAGTCAAAGTCTGAAGACTGGATTCAGTTGGTCCAGCCACTCCTTGGCTTAGTTATTTCAACTTTAAAGTAGTCATGACCAGGGCCTCCCAGGACTGTCCTAATGATGGCGCAGGGTCCTGCCTACCTAGGGCTCTGACCAGCCCCAGACACCCTTACTATAACTCAGCGGCGGGGACAGGGTTTTAACTCTCTCATGAGGGGGCAGGTCCATGAGTTCAGCCTCTGC